CTCTCCGTGGTAGATGCGATAAAATACGCAAAGAGATGCAACATCTCTTCGCAGTGCCAGTGAGTCAAGCCGATCAGAAAGAGCTCGCTCGTTGAGGAAACGCTCTGTGCTGGATGCGATGAAATGGATAGAGCTGCCACTGGGGAGCCCTGGCTCAAAGATGGGAACAGTATTCCATGTGCGGTCAAACCTACGTCTTATAAAGTTGCAGACGGTGTGCCGGCATGAAATACTGTCCCGCCCGGCTGAGCACGCCATGCTTTTTAGAGGTCAATTTGACCTTCTCTTGCAAGTGACTACTGCAGTGTAACTCTGCCATTTGACGGCAGAAATAGGTGTTAACCACACTGACAGTCTAGGAGAGACGAAGAAGGAGTCCTAACTCTAACTTAGAGTGTTTATCTACAAATCCAAACGTATGAATATACGTGTTCATACGGTCACTCTAATTTTGTCTAGTCAAACGCTAGAACTTGAAAACTGTGTTGTTATTAGGGTTGCTACCTTTTTAATGACTAAATATAATTATTCCCAAAAAAAAAGATGGAAAAATATAGTACTTTTGCGAAAATCAGGAGAAAAAATTACACATTTATATTTAATCTTTATATATTTTCCGTTTAAATTTTTATTGCTCTTTTCTTTGCCCATCAATGATCTTCTTACCTTTAAAATAGTCTGAGCAATTTAAATTCATATTAAAATAAATCAACAATTCATTTTTAATTAAATTAATACATATGCTCTATTTCTTTCTTCTTTTAATTTTACTTTCACGACGCAAAAAAATATTTCCATAAAACTTACTTGTTCCAGACTTCCAATCACAGTTAATATTTGGAATTAAGAAAAAATATAGTATTTTTCGTACTATATTATTTTTCTATAATATATTATAGTACAATTGACTGAAATATAGTACGATACCATATATTTATAGTACGGGTGGCAACCCTAGTTGTTATAATTCTTTAAGTTAATTAAATTTAATTTTTTTTAATAAAAACATCCTTGAAATGCTATTAACATCTCTAATATTCCATTTAACCACTCCTGGTAAATTTAAAATGGTTGTGTGGATTCGAAGCCACGACCTCTTGAGTTCGGAGACGAACCCTACCATTAAGCTATTGTAAATCCTCTATTGTCATTTATTATTTATTTTACAGCCCTTATTATTGTTCAGTTTAAAGCAGCTACAACTACAGTATGGTACAGTACAGTACAGTACCGGCACAGTAGGATTTTCCCTTGTACCGTGGAGGGATCTCACAAAAACAAATTTTACATAGACAAACACCCAGACCCAAAACGATTAATTACGTGCCTTGCAAGAAAGCAACCAATAACGTTTAAATTGAACTGATATTGTTAAAATTACGATAAGTAGATAATCATCTATATTTATAAATAAAATGTAAGTGTCTGTCTGTGTTATTGAACCAATGGAATTATTTCAATGCTTAAGAAATAATTAATTTTATTAAAGAATAAGTATAACAAATGTCTGTTATAATCTATTATTTTAAAAGTTACCTTTAAAAATCCATAACTCCGAAAATATTATTTACTTTATCGTAAAAATTTATGGCACATTTTTTGTGTATTTTATCAAAGAATATTACAAAAAAATAGTCCTGTTTGAAAATAACAATTATCCTTGCAATCTCAGAGATGTATATAAAAATTACTCTAAGCTTGCAATTGAAAAAAAAATCGGTTGGAACAATATGGCACCGAGTTGCCCCATGGCAACATGCATTTTATATCATTTGTAGGACAATTTGATGAGAATCGCATATGTGAGGTGGAATAGTTTTCTGTACTCATGTGCCGATTCCTCCTGTACTAACTACGGAGCACCAAAATTATACACTGCATCTCAGATTACTAATGACTTTCCGTCGCCTTTTATGCCATCCACGGGCCGATAGTCGTTACACGGTGGCTGTGTTTGGCAGAAAAAAGCGCTGGGAAACGCTTGTAAGCAAAATGGCGATCGTAAGCGGTAAATGGTAAATAGTTATTTTCCTCTACGACACGAGTTAGCTTTAACCGGAGAACCTAACCTAATTTAAATACATGTTTATAAAGTATCAAAAACTTACCAATCATGAATTTTTAATAACGTGTATAATATATTTATTAATGTCATTATATTACTTGAAACTTATTGCATAAAACAACTTATAAACTCTACTTCAAAACAAACAAAATAAATAAGCAAAATGGCGGGCTGTGTCAGCGCTACTACTACTACTGAAGTTAGTAAACGTGTTCTGGCCGAAAACTGTATAGTTTCGCCATTTTGCTTACAAGCGCTTCCTAGCGCTTTTTTCTGCTAAACACACCCGGTGTCTTAGATTAGAACGAGAGATGCGAAGACTTAATTAATTTACTAAATTTATTTTTAAGTGATTATGTGAGACTGCGTACATCATAACAGTTTTTCTTTGATTGTTATTGTTGTTATTAGCCAGTGCTTTCACATAATCCCACTTGGTGGTAGATAGCGATGAAACCTTAGACGGTAAATTACAGTAACAATAACCTATTTACTCTTGCATTTAAACCGCCGAATTATTCAAATCCTTTGTTGTAAGCATTAGAAAAAATGAAGCATACTGTTTGGTTCAAATGCGCGGAATATTAACTATACTGTTATTGTACTCAAATCAAATCAAGTTAAAAGAACGATAATAAACGTTTTTAAAGTTACCAGCATTTGAAAGTTAAAGCATTATTATAATATATTCTAAGATTTTAAACCACAGCCAGCACCCTAAAAAACTAAGATAAAAATTTTCACAGACTGTAATTATATCAACTCAACGTATTATTTATGTTAATAGTGTGGTCATTCGATTCGAATTTTTATTTTAACGAATTTTTAGCCAGCAGGAAATTATTACCAGAGTCACAGTGTATTGCCATTTTGTTCGATAACTTATTATCATCTTGAAGTAGTAATGCCGTTGCTGTAGAAATCTTGGGATTTTTGATCAAAAAAATGCAACAAACAGCGTTGACAGTCCTCCCTTGATGTTAACCTAACACTACCGAAAGAATTCTGAAGAGACTGAAACAGCTAAAAATCTTAAGGTGCAAGGTCAGGAGAGTCAGGACTATAGCTAAAGCTCTCTCCATTTTTACTGATTTGTAGCTCAAATTGTAGGGGCTTAGAAAGAACTGTTTTACAGCCTTTAATTTTATTAGCTGTCTTACGGAAGCGCTGCTGTTTAGCAGAAGAAATTGCTAAGAGAGGATGACCTGTCTAGACCAACTTCTAGGTAGAAAATTTGTGATATATAACTTCTAATTTTTATGGGATAGGGTGACAAACAAGCACGCATGCAACCTGATGGTAAGTGGTTGCTGCGGCCCATAGACATCTACATCTATCTTCGATTACAAATCAAAATGCAGATGCGTTATCACCCGTGAGGACTAAGATGGAATGCCTCGTTTCCAGTAAAAAGGGTCTCCGGTTCTCTACACTCACCATACGAAACACAGCAGCATTAAGCTACTATTTTATGCTGGTGTTCTGTGAGAGCGTAGTCCTTCCCCGGTCGAACCGACCCATCCTTGCTACAACTATACTACTAATATAACTGCAGCATGGCTGTATCACGTATAACATGGCTCTACCACGTATAATATTGTAATACTTTACTAATATTGTAATACTTGACCGATTGAAGTTATACTTAAACAATATATTTGTTTTGTTTAGAGGATGGTTCAAACATATGCTAGGATCCAATAGATGGCACTAAAGTCAAACTTTTAACAAATTCTCTATTTATCGGCATATGAGGCAAAAAAGAAAATCACATAATACCTGAATACGATAGGTATCGCCTCTATTTAACCTATGCTCGATTTATTAAAAGAAATTACATTCATGCTGTAAAAAGTTGGGAGTGAATCCGGAGTGAAACTCATCGCGCCGTCTACCGGAAATGGCATAACAATGTTATTAGGGGGGGGTGGTTTTTTTGGGTTGTGGGGGTCCCCCCACAAGGGGGGGTGGGTTTGATTTTTTATTGGTGTTTGGTTCGTCTTTTTTTATTTTTTTTTTTTGGTTTGTTTTTTTTAGTAATTCCCTCTTTTTTGTTAATTATTCCTGATAGCATACAGGTTGTATATATTATGATATACAACCTGCGTGCTAGTTTATTATCTTTATTCGATAGATATTAGCTTATTTATACGTAATAGAGCCACGCTGCAGCTATATTATAGTTGTAGCATGAATGGGTCGGCTCGACCGGGGAAGGACCACGCTCTCACAGAATACCAGCGTAAAATAGCAGCTCAAGACTGCTGGGTTGTTGCTGTGTGACTGTGTATGATGAGTGTAGAGAAGCGGAAACCCTTTTTACTAGAAACTGGGCATTCCATTTTAATCCTGAGGGGTGAGAAGGCATCTGCATTTTGATTCTTAATCAAGGAGAGATGTGGATGTCTATGAGCCACATCATTTACTTACCATCAAGAGGACTGTGTGCTCTTTAGTCACTCTTATTTTATAAAAATACTTATTGGGTAAAATTTATGTTGATTAGCTTCGAAATCACTGTACTTACTCGTACAGTCAGCCACACAATAAAATGAACGCGCATTTAGTAACTTTGATAAGATCAGGTCAGATTTCTTTGACGTTGTTGTATTTGATCTGTAGCCGACTGTACATTCGCGAATAAACTTTCAGCGTGGTTCAGTAAAAACTAGAGTCGGACCGCGTCATAGCACGCGTCAGACGCGTGAGCGTGAGCCCTCCCTCGCCCCTCCCGCCTCTATTTACGGAGGAGGACGGCAAACGTTCGCACACGGCAGTCGCTTCAGAGACTCGCGTTCGTCACGTGCAACTCTAGCCATGCTGCTGACATACCCCGTGTTGATAAACGCCGGTTCAATCGCCAACGTAACATAACGAGCCGCACGCGAGCCGCGTTTACGTTCCTCACCCTCTAGTTTTTACACTCCTTTTCAACATGGTATCACAGTCTCGAGGCGCCCACGTGTTGGTCTGGGAGCAGCCCGGTCTGGAAGACCAGCGGCCAAAGGGCTACAGTGGTGAGTCATATGTGACGTCACTGTAAACGACGCTAATTTGCATTGTGTCCGGGTTTATAGGATCTGATAAAGTTCGTAACGAAATTAGCGGACGTAAACAAATTCTTTTTTTCCCCGCTTATTTTACATAACACGAGGGATTATTTTTCTATGAACACCATATCAGTATGGCGTGACAGTGTAATGCAAATAAAATATAATAAAATTTTATTACAAGTGACATATTTTATCATCAACTATAAGTATTTTCGTATCTGGATTTCGCTGTAAAGCGTTTTTATAAAAATTAGGTTATATTCTGAGTAATTACGTCATTGACGACACATACGCGTCATCAAGACAAGATCTGTGTCAAATTTTAAGTTTCTGTAAACAAAATAAGTATTGTAGAAGGTAGGTAAGTAGGTATAAGTATGTTTTAACTGAAACATTTAAAAAGCTTAGTACATTTGATACAAGGTGATTCAATTATATGTTTATAACGTGGTTGCAACTTTCGAAACTTGGAATAAATTTCCACCCCTAAAGGTGACAAAATAGGGGGTGAAGTTTTTAACATAACTGTTTAAAAACATCGGGACTGTGATATTCCTTAAAGCTTAAATGCTTTAAGGAAAATCACAGTCTCGATGTTAAATATATTTTAGGGTACAAAAATTGACTTTTGATAAAAAGTAGAAGCTAACTTTAAAAAACTGAAGAAAAACACATTTGGAAGTGGAGGGTATTAATACACGAAGACTTAACACTCTTCACGAATGCGAAACTGTTTTATTCTTTTTACTTCTTTGAAGTCCACCTATTTTTATCTTTATTTTTTACGTTCCGATAACGTTTACCTTGTTACGTTTTTCTAATTTACATTAACCGTTTCTTTTTCATACAGAGGATATCATTCTGAAGGTTTCGATCACGGTAATAGATTAACCGGTGTAAGAATATCCACTACTCCATATAATTCCTTGGATGTCGTAAGAAGCGACGGAGGGAAATTGAACCAAGAGATGAGAAACAGCGTGCTCCAGATAACTAAAAAAATTAAAAACTGCGGTTGCGAACCCGCTTGCCAAGTGTGCCAACTATGGCAAATATCTCCCCAATGGTACAATCTATGGAGCAAGCCTATGTTCGGCAGTGGAGTTTTGATAGGCTGTAATTGTATTTATAATAGATTTAAAATATTGTTTGTCGAACGAAAATTGTGTTTCTTATGATAAAGTGCTTTCATTGCATTTCATCAAAGGAACTGAATTTGCATTACATTCATATAGTTGTAATATTAGCCAAAGATTTAAAATATTAGCTTGCTTACATTGAGTTACTTGCTTATAAATACTCTAGGTGCAAGATCCTATTCAAAAAATGCCAAAAATAAATTATTAATATTTTAAACTTGCAATTGTTATGACTTGGTGAAACTTCATCCCTCTGAGAGATGTAATGGTGGCCACAGACGGTCAGTTAAACTAATCAGTTCAAACTAAGACTGTTGATATTTTTTAAAATATCGGATTTGCGATATATCCACAAATAAACTTATATGTAAAACTCCGATATTCAAATATTTATAATGATCGATATATCGAAAATCCACTATTTTAAAAAATATCAACAGTTTTAGTTTGAACTGATCAGTTGAAATGATCAGTTGAACTGACCGTGTGTAGGGTACATTACATTGTGTGAAGCGAAATCGGTTGGGTTTTAATAAATTAAGACGTGTGTATTCAAATCATAAATATATTCAAATTTATATTACAAATTATATTGGGCAACCAAGTTTCACAGGGATATTTTGGGACTCATAATATATATATAGCCAGTGAAAACAAACTGCCCATCGGTTTTCTGTTCTTCGAGCTCCGTGGCCAAGATGTAAGTGTCTCAGGTTCGTGTTTTGTAACATTCCTAGGAATACGTCAGATATCGCATATAAGCCACGAATCGCAAAAAAAGAGAATCCACTGTCCCGTATCATATCGTGCGAGTCGTGAGAGGAGGAAACAGAGGGAAATTAAGCTGAAGTTGGGCGGCATACTACCTAATAACTCAAGATAATAAATACTGCGATCTTACGTACGCGAGAAATCTGGGTTCGATCTTCGCCGACACTATGAAATTGTATCCAATTTTAAATGCCGATTTATCACGTGCTTGGTAGTGAAGGAAAATCCTTTAAGATAATCTACAGGCATATTCATATTCATAGGCATCTTAGGAATAAAAAGAACTGAAGTATTATTACTAGATATTAATATCTATCAGATTTAAAAAAAGATTTTTATGTGATAGAGCCACGCTGTATCTATATTTGTTGTAACACGAATGGGTTGGCTCGAACGTGATAGGAGCACGCTTTGACAGAATACCAGCGTAAAATAGCAGCTACAGGCTGTTGTGTTTCGTATGTTGAGTGTAGAGAACCGGGGACCCTTTTTTACTAGAAACGAGGCATTCTATCTTAGTCCTCAGATGTGACAACGCATCTGCATTTTGATTCTTAATCGAGAATAAATCTAGGTGTCCATGGGTTACAGCTTCCACTTACCATCAGGTGGACTGTGTGCTCGTTCGTCACCCTTATTCTTTAAAAAAGATAGAGTAGGCAGAGAGAGAGAGAGAGAGAGAGAGAGAGCGCAGATTCTATAAAAAAGATAGAGACGTTAGTCAATGGGTGTTGAAGTTATTTTAGGGTTCAGCTTCCACTTACCATCAGGTGGACTGTGTGCTCGTTCGTCACCCTTATTCTTTAAAAAAGATAGAGTAGGCAGAGAGAGAGAGAGAGAGAGAGAGAGATTCTATAAAAAAGATAGAGACGTTAGTCAATGGGTGTTCGAAGTCTATTAAAACTATAAAGCCATAAATTAATTTGTAATGGTGGCCTAAGACAAAATAATGGGTGTCGTAAGAGGCGACAGAGGAAAATGCAGGGTGTTAATGATAACAACTAAAAAAAAAGTGCAGTTGCCAACCTGTCTGCCAATGGTGGCAACTATTTCAAATATCCTCTATGATATTTGAAATAGTTGCCATCCTTGATGATCTGATTGATATGAGGCTATCTACGCAGAAGACCTAAGTTCAGCTGTGGGTTGTGATTGACTGTAATGATGAATATATTTATACATATATAAGGTCTTTTTCCTGCTTATAACCAAAATTATGAAGGTCGTAATAGTTAATGGGCAAAGTGCACGCCTTAAATTTCATAAAACGTGCGCAACCCGACTCCAATTTGCCTTAACACTACTGAATATATAAATTACAGTTTTAAGATGATACATATACTTGACATAAAACAGCTTTTGTTCCTTTTTTATAAAAACATGGGTGAAAAACGGGCACACAGTCCACCTGATGACTAGTGGATACTTTGGCCCATTGAGACCTTCGTATATCCTTGATGACCACTGAACTACGTCCCCGGTTCCTACCACTCACCATCGAAATATAGCAGTATTTTGCTGCTATTCACCTGAATGTCTGGGGAATCAAAAGTATTTCGAGTTTGTCTGTCCGCACCAAAACATTGCGCCGGGCACAATCCTCTCAGAAATGAGGACATATCTCTGTTTATGTTTAGTGTCCAAACGTGGGACGTATGTATGTAAAGCTTTACTTTTAAATATATTACAAGCAAATACCATTTGACACCTGTTACCATATTTTTGTGTTGACGTACAACGTATGAGAAACGTGAAAATTAAAATAAACAGAAAATTGATAGCACGACGTAATGTGCGTCACAGTAAAAATAATGTAAATAATTAATCATTAGTTTTAAAAAAATCTCGTAACCAGTAAAGATCCTTTTTACGGGAAACTAGGCATTCCATCTTAGTCCTCAGTGGTAACAACGCATCTGGATTTTGATCGTTAATCCAGGATAAATATAGATGTCAATGGGCCACAGCATCCATTTACCATCAGGTGGAATGTGTGCTCGTTTGTCACCATTATATTATAAAAAAGAATCAAAAAATTGAGTGAGGTTGTGCAATCCATATCCATTTGGCAACATTCATAACCTTCTGGGCCACTTAATTAGCGTTACTAATATACTAAACAAGTATTTAAATTATAGTTTAAAGACTCTGTATAATAGTGGTTTGTCAGGTGGAACTTGATGAGTTCATATGCGTAGTGCGTACCATGGCTGCTTTACATGTCGTTTTAGACGTCGTTGGTCATTTCTAATCCAAAATACCTAGGTATATTAAATCTAAAAAGCTAAAGACTTATTAAAATAACATATATATTATTATTTATTATCAAAGAAAACAAATTGTATGGATTTTCCAACTGTGGACTGTGTGCTCGTTTGTAACCCTTATTATATAAAAAATAAGCCTAAATCCTAGCCAAGTAATGAGCTAATTACCTTAATTTCATGACATTGGTAGTGTTACGGCTCTGTGGTGCAGTGGCTTGGCAATCAGTTGCAGGGCTAAGGTATCGAATCCCGTACGGAACAAGTATTTGTATCGCCTTCAAAAAATTGTCGCGGGTCGCGATGTTTGTTCTTGTGAAATGTATGTATATAGACTGCTCCCACGATACAAAAGAAAATCCTAGTGTAAAAGTAACTTTTTTAAATAAGAGAATAAGAAAAGTTTTACACAGTTCCGTGGCGTCATAAACATAATTCTTTACAAGTTTTATCTAGATCGTTTGCGACGTTTTTTAGTCTTTTATCTGCATTTGAGATACCTTAAGCAAATTTATAATTGTGCAAATCACTTCTTCGTTTATGCTAGGTAGACTTTGTTCAAAACAAGTTTTCAAAACTTATCTTTATTGTCTATTTAACCAAAAACAATAAATTTCTAATTATCATTCTTTTTCTGGAATTTTCAAAATATTAACAGATTACTAAAGGTTTATTGAAAATTAGCACCAGGAAATATTAAAAAAAAACGGTTTTTAAAATTACTGCACTGAGCATGATGAAATTGTCCAATAAATTCCAATATTATAGGTACGTTAATAACGGTTGTAAT